GAGAAAAATGCCTTCAAATTTTAAGATTATTCTTGCGAGCTAAGCTGTTGTTTCTTTCGAACTGGGAAATCTCAATGTTCACATACTATACTATACTATACTATACTATACTATATTATTACTTCCAACAATGGAAACCTATTCCAGATTGTCTCCTAGCCCTAATGGAAGCATAAATAAAGTAAAGAGAATTTGTCCAAGTACTGAACCCTGAGGAACTCCATGACTAGCTTTGGTATGTGACAACTTGTTATTAACATGAACAAACTGGAAGATATAAAACAAACATAATTAAACCATTTTAGATTTTTTTTCTGTAATCCCAATATCCTGTTCAATCCTCTGTCAAAGAATATTGTGATCAGTTGTATTAAATCYAGCACTGAGATCTAAGACTGTCCACTGTCTTGTGCCCATCTACATCAACTGTTCATCAACATTTTTTTTTCTGAATCTTTGGAAATAATGAAAACTTGACTTTGCAGACTCATCTGTGCTGTTTTGCACTCTTTGACTCAACAGTAAACTACCATTATTGCTTTCTCAAGTACGATCAGTGAAGTGAAAAGTTCCTTTTAGTTACATTRCCCTACTTGAATCCTATGGCAGAGCAGTGCTTGAGTGTAGGAGGTGTGATGTCAATTGGGAACTATCAGCCAACATTGTTTTCAGGACACCACCTGGACAACCAGTGGTTGATCCAGATATGCAGACAAACATGTGATTGTTGGTCCAATTAAGAAGGGGACCAAAGAAGAGTTCAGAGCCCAACATTCTTTTGGCAAAGTTGCATCTCGAAACATTAATTTTAATGACCTGATTTAACTGTATGTCATTACCACYAATAAAAAACAGTTGTACTGTATAAAGCCTTTGACTCAGTCKGCAGTTTCAGGTAGGATTTGATGCAGGGGCAGACTGGCATACGGGGCTTAATGTTGCTTCCAGAATAATGGGATATTTCTCACAGATGGGCCTTTCAGCCCATTTCAGTACAGAATTTGTGTCACTGTGAATAATGACTCTGACCAGCTTCTGCATCTTCATGAATTATTTTGCCTTGCGTATAATTGAACAGCTAAATGTGGCACAATCAGGCATCTGGAAGTGTAACTTGATGGATTACCAAACTCCAGGTTGAATTTTAGTGTGCATTAGTTTTACTGGCCTGCCAGATATGTGAAACTGAAAGAAGTGTAACCGAGTTCATTTTAACACTTTTCTGTAATGTTAAAGCTCTTGGCTGGCCTGGGAATGCCTTGGGATTCCCCCGGATGAGCTGGCCCAAGTGGCTGGGGAGAGGGGAGTCTGGGTCTCTCTGCTCAGGCTCCTGCCCCYGCGACCCGACCCCGGATAAACGGCAGAAAACAGATGGACGGACGTTAAAGTTCTAATCCTTGTTTAGAATTTTGCAAATAAGATTAATGACACTTGTAAAATGTGCTTGCTTACCTAGGTAAAGTAGTTCATGTTTTTTGCCAATTAAATATTTCAATAAAAATGTTGCATTCAGGAAATAGGGTTTTTTGTTTTAACTGTGTCCAAGCTTTTTTTGTATGTGGGCCAAAATAAAGTTATAAATGTTTACTAGCCACAAAAATAAAACAATAAACAATAAAAGAAAAAAGTAGACAACACTTGGAATTATTTTTATTGACTCACATTTGAACCCCACCACAAAGTTTGAATTTGTTTTTTAAAAATCATCCAACACAAAACCCAAAGGTTGATTGGAGCACTGAAAAATGTACAGCTGGCAGCTGATAAAACAGATTCATATAAGGTTTAATTTTGAAAAGGTGATGTAACCGTAGTTAGGCTCAATTTCTCACTATCAATTAAATCAACCCAAGTTTTGATTGATTRCACATAATTATTTACCATAATGCTGAAAAATATTTCACTTAAAATTGCAGACTTTAAAAATATTTTTTAACATTTATGTTGAATCTAAAAATTATAACAAAAATCCCCATTAAAATGAGCAAAAGATGCAGTAGTTTACCTGAATCTCTTGCATCTACAGGTCACAAATACAGCACGAGTACAAAATCACTCAGAGGGCCACACATAGCCTGTGGACAGCAACACCCCTGGCATAAGATGACTATAAACACATGCCTCCATCATAGCATTCATAGTAACTACAGAATCAACCCATCAATCAATCYATCAACCAACTTTATTTGTACCCACAGGTAAATTTTGTTACAGTGAAAGTGAGTTAGCTCCGTTCCAAGAAAAACACAAGACATTTGACATGGACATACAGTAGACACAACATGATTAAAAAGTGAAGGATAAAAGCGATTCATTAAAAGTGCGAAAAAACAGAGTCATAAACTAGTGTCAAAAAARGCTCAAAAAYATAWAAATTAATTTCAAAATTACAGGAATCAAAGCTCTAGAGGAAGTTATTCACACCAAAAACACAAAAAAAGAGGATAATTTGATTTATTATGTTAGTTATTCCTCCATGAATTGTTTGGGTCTCCCAGTATTACATAGATATTRCACAAACTCAATCAGTTAAATCCAACATTTACTGACATAAACAAAGAAATAGAAGTGAGATTCAAGTTTATTCTTTACTGCAATCTGTTCTCAGATGCATTTTCCAGCACARSTCTGTTACAAACTTTTGTTCTTTCGTCGGATCACAGCTTTGTTTATTTCTCTCAGCAGAGTCTCCCTGTTGTTCCTGATATTAGTTTTTGCTGTCTCCAACAAAAATGTAATGTGTTNTTTGACCGTCTTTAGCTTTGATTAGGCATGCATTCACTGTGACATTGTTTCAATAAGCTTCTGCAATGTCACAAGATTTATTTTGTAGGGAGTGGGTTTAACGTGAGTTAAGCTTTTGCTACATCTCTCATACACAAGGTTATGAGGAAAGTTTTACCAAGGTATTTTCTCATTACTTTTAATATCTTGACTGTGCGAGGTGAAAAGTGACACAATAAGTGAACGTTCAGACGAGTTCAAGTTGATTTAAGACTATGCAATCATTTATTTACACAAATTGAACAATTCATAAGTACACCTGATTGTGGTTATTCCTATAGCATGCGTCAAAGTTAAATGAGATAAAACTCGCATCTGAATTTTAATTCACATCAACTCAGATTACTTATGTAGAACAGTAAAACGTCAGTTCTGATGTTACAACCAAACAATTTTACTGGCACTTTCAGTTTAAGTTTTGGCAAATAAGACAAGAAAAGGAGGAAAATAAGATTAGTATTCCTACTACTTTTACTTTGTCAAGTGTGGTCAACCGGGTCAGCACGTCCCTTCTGCGCTTAAGATTTCCACATGACACGTTATCCAGAACACGTCAGTTTTACCTGGTGATGGCTTCTTAAGCAACCCCTGGGTAGGAACTGTCTCACCTCTGATCAGCCAGGGAACTTTTAATCGGCTCGCTCACTGTTCCTTGGGGGAGAAAGGTGTTTTCCCAGGTAACTTTTCGTCTGTTTCAGTCCAAGCCAGAAAGATTCAAGCTGTATATTCAGTTCCTTCTTTCAAAATAAAATCTCCCCTCGGGAGTTAAAAACACACTTGGAGACTTGAAGCCTCGGGGTGGGGCTGGCTGGCGTGCCGAACCCCGGCTGAGAGAAAACTCAGCTTTCCTTCCTAGTTTGGCATCCAGGAAGAAGAGTGTGTCGCTCAAAGACGTCTGTGGTTAGTCAAAGAAACGGATGACTTTGGTTCTGCCCTCAGGCGTAAGATGAGTCAGAGAAAGAAAGATAAAGAGATTTGCCAGCGGCGCCAGCTCAAGGCTAAAATTCTGTGGTTGTCACAACAGAATATGATAAAACTTTCTTTAGCTTTTCTCTGATAGACTAAGAGAAATCACTGCAAAACATTTATGATGATTAATTAACATATCTGTTTTATAATCAGTCTGAACCATTCTGTTAGTCCAGATAAATGAAACATTTTCTCAGGAAAAATCCACAATTATATTACTGTGTTCCCAGTAAAATAAAAACAGTGATTTACATAAAAACACAATGAAACATTGTAATGATTTTCTCTGTGATTTTTTATACCATTAATTAATCTTTAAAAGAGTAGAAGTGGTTCCACTTTTCTTGTGACAGTCATTATCATGATTTAACAAATGCATAAACATTCTTAGTTAAACAACAAATGAATCACGAACAGAAGAGATTGTTCTGTCCATTATCTGATTAAGAGAACCGAGGAGTTCTCTTCTGGGTTGAAATGACCTGTCATGGCCTAAATGGAGTTCAGTTTGTGACAGAGTTCCTGTTCTCTCGTCAGGCCTGTTCGAGGCCTGCTTCGAGGCAGTAGATCTTGTTTCTTCACTCGAGGTGACCCCTACAATTTCCATCCAGTGCTGCATTAATTTTTCACCAAGATCTTGTATTGATGATGTTAGAGTCTGACCGCTGAGCAAAGCCTTGCAGCACATCCCAAAGATTCTCAATGGACTCTGTGGAGCCAATCCATGTGTGAAAATTATGTCTCATGCTCCCTGAACTACTCTTTCACAATTCGAGCCCGATGACTCCTGGCATTATCATCTTGAAATATGGCTGTGCCACCAAGGAAGGTAAAATCCATTGCTGGAATAACCTGGTCATTCAGTATATTCAGATAGTCAGCTGACCTCATTCTTTGAGCACATACTATTGCTGAAGCTAGACCTGACCAACTGCAGCAAACCCACATAGTTAAATCTAGGTGGCAATGTTTATTTTTGGCTGGGCAGTGTAGTAYGCCTGTAATCAATTCTAAATTAAATTATGTCTTAAATTCTGCCCCCCGCCCTAAAATTTTTCCTTCTCAGAAGGATCTGAGCAGAAAATTCTAATTAGTGTGGAGAAAATTTAACTTGTCARCAATAAGAAAACTGCAACTCTGCTTAAACTGGTAAGGTGAATAAAAAATAATATTTAAGGGTTATTGTGTTCTTTAGARCAAACTTCAGACTTATTCTGTTATAAGCACATTAAAACATTAAGTCAGACCTTTGCAGTTTCTTCTGTTGAAGAGTGGCATGTAGACAATGGTTGGCTCGTGGTCTTTCCCTTCAAACACGTAGCAGTCCTTTGGCCAGTCTTTGTCCTCCAGTACTGTATCAYTGATCTCTGGAAAAGGCTTCATTGCCTCTGCTGTGTAGGCMCTGGTAAGAGTCAGAGTCTGCAAATAAGCAAAGGACCATCACTGTTTCTGTTGCCTAATCTTTTATCATCTCAGAGCTTTAGAATGTTTTATATCAAAGCATTAAACCACTCAGCTTRTGGCTGCATGGTTAGGGGAKTTGTCCTCCACTGAGAGAGTTGGGGGTTCAATTCCACTGCTATTTAGTYAKGTGTTGAAGTGTCCCTGGGCAMGACACTGAATTYCCACTGYCTCTGATGTGTGTCCCATCAGKGTATGAATGTGATTYAAGCCCTGGTCATTGAAGAATGATTTATATAGATTAGCTTTGTAGAGATACTTAACATAGTGCTAAATGAACGGGCAGTGGTGGGCAGYGCTAAATCAAAGGTTAGTTGCACAAATTCAAAAGCGCTGCCAAAATTATTTAGATCCGCAAGTTCTAAAGCACTTATACCCAATAACACTAATAATAGTTCTGCTGCTTCTTGGTCATTTTTTAGCGATGCATCCTGGGTACAGGATAGATTGGTGACAGGAAGTAAAAACATGTAGAATATGAAACCATCTTCACATCAATATAAGAGCATGAATTTAAAAACTGTTCCCTACTTATGTTATTAGGTGTGTATGTAGCTTGGGTTATACTTCAATAAGACGTGATGCAGCAGGCCATAAATTATCATAATCCATCCCTCAGCCC